TCATCAAGTGACCTCATCCTTGGTGTGTCTTTTTCTTTCCGGCACTTTGGTTTTGTTTGTTGTTTCCCAAAAGTGTTTTTTATGAGCTCAGATGTAGAAAGTTCAGTGTAGCTGAGTCTGCATGAGGAGGTTAAGAGTGCGGCTCCCCTGCAGGACTCGGCCCTCTTCTTACTCTTTTATTTATTTACTTACATACTTATTCATTCATTCATTCATTCATTTATGGCTGTGTTGGGTCTTCGGTGCTGCGCACGGGCTTTCTCTAGTTGCGGCGAGCCGGGGGGGCCACTCCTCGCTGCCTTGCACAGGCCTCCCACTGCAGTGGTCTCTCCCGCCACAGAGCACGGGCTCCAGGCATGCAGGCTTCAGTAGTTGTGATACGCGGGCTCAGTAGTTGTGGCTCACGGGCTCTAGAGCGCAGGCTCAGCAGCCGCAGCGCACGGGCATGTGGGATCCTCCCGGACCAGGGCTCGAACCCGTGTCCCCTGCACTGGCAGGCGGATTCCCAACCACTGCGCCACCACGGAAGTCCCTCTCCTCTTACTCTTGAGTGACAGAGACGAGGCAGTCCTCTGGGCCACCTGTCGTGGAGACTCTGGCTGAGTGTGCTCGCTGAGTGCGGCCAGGCTTCAGCATGTGCAGGGCTTTTTAGTGCAGACCTCAGCCAGTGAAACGAACTGGGCCGGCCAGGCTTTCCCTGCAGCCCTGGCATAGAAGGCTGCCTTCCACCCCGAAGCTGCTGCCTCACTGCCCGCTAGCAGCCACCTCTGTAAACTGCACGCCTGCAGTCAGAGTTCTTTCTTGAGAGTTGGTTTGTTCGTGGTTGTGTGCATTTGTTCCTACGTTCACAGAATGTCAAGCATGTTTGCCCCAGGAAGGCGCTAGGCCATGAGAGCGCAGAGGTGGGTCCCTGCCCTCCTGGGGCTCACAGTCTAAGTGCGTCACACAGACACCAGGCCACCTCTGAGTCATTTCGAAAGTGGGATCTAGGAGAGGCCCCTCTCTCACACGTTGTCAAACCCTCAGCTCCCCCTGGGACTTCACTATTTCAGGGGGCCCAGGAGGGTGGGGAGGGAGCCCAGATGGAGTCCAGCAGAAGTCTCCCGGCTGTGACCTTGTCTGTCCCTGCACGCCAGGGGACGTGCTGAGTCCATCTTAAGGGGGGCCTGCGGCCATCCCATCTGCTCCCCTCCCCCACCCCGCTCTGCATGCTCGGCCCCCTTGAGTGCCTCCTCCTCTCTCCAGCCGCTGTGTTTCTGACTCATCACCAGTGGTCACCCAAGCCTTTGGTTGCCACTTGATCGCCTCTGTTGCTCACACACCAGGTCGGCAGGGGGCCCACCCTGTGAGGAGCCTTGCTGCCGATGCCTCACGGGCCGGCCCTGGGACATCTGCCGCTCACCCGACGGCCCCCGGCCCCCGCGCCCTCTCCTCTCCTCCGCGTGATCAAGTCCTGGCTTGTCCCTCCCCACCCCCAGCCTCTTCTGGAGCAGCGCTCCTGCATGTGGCCGCTACTAACAAACTAATAGACCTGGGGAGACGGAGAGCCTGCCCTGCCCTAGACGGCGCCCCAGACTAACCCAGTCAGTCCCAGGGTGGGATCCAGGCAGGAGCCTTTTTTTTTTTTAAATTGTCCAGATGGCTCCACTCTGCAGCCAAGGTGGAGAACCGGAGCCAGCAGGCTTTTAATTGTTCTTTCATCACTTCAGCCTGCTCCGGTTTTGCCTCCTGAGCTGGCTTCTGTTTCCAGGATGGAGCCATGACCTAGGTGGTCGGTCTCAGCCCCTGGCAGCGCCCAGCCAAGGCCCTCAGCACTGGCACACCCCCTCCCCAGCCCCGTGTGCTTCGTGTCCTCCACCCCCCTCACACCCACCTCCCCACCAGCAGACCTCCCTGCCCTGGGTCTTATTCCCTACTTCCAGGGCCCAGCTGGGGAACCCGCTAAACTCAGCGGATGTAGAGTGCATGCAAGGATATTTGTGCAGCACTTTTCCTTAACTTAAAAAAAGAAAAGAACAACAGAGAGAGGGGGAATGATTTGAAAACAATTACCCAATGATAGGGGATTGATTCACTAAATCATGAATTGCAATGCAATAGAAGATTCTACAACAATCAAAATACTGATGAAGGATTTTTAGCGTCATGGCATATAATGTTTAGTGAAATAAGCAGAATGAAATACTACATATCATGTGAACTAGGCTATCTATTTATAGAAAAAAGCCCGAAGGGAAATATACCAAAATAGTAATGGCACTCGTCTGGGGGTGGCAGGATTATAGTTGACTTTGTTTGGTTGTTACCATTTTATGGCTTTTAAAAATTATGCATTGTGCACGTATTACTTTTGTAATCAGAGAAAAGTCGATTCAAAAAAATTAATTGGGGGGACATTAATGTCAGATAATGGCTTTTGGCATCAATCCAAGTGTGTAATTGGTAATTTCAATTTCAAACAACATGGAATTGGTAGAGGTGAGTCCTGGGGTGGGGTCTCAAGGGGAATCTTTTAGGAAAATAAGATTCTCTTAAAGGGACGGCTCCTGAGAGGGTCAGGCCAGTGAGCGGGCTCTAGAGAGGCCTGCCCCGAGCCTCTCTGAACTGGCTGGCCAGATGGGGCCCTTTTCAGGAGCCTCGCTCTGGCGCTGGGTGCTGACTGGCTCCTTGGCCTCGGAGCACCACTGATACTTTTCTTGTGCTGTCTCTTCAGAGACTTAACCTTTGGTTACAGTTGCTTTGCCCTGATAAAATGAGTTCATGTTGAGTAATTATTCATTCACCAGGTGCTGAAATAAAGTCGTGTAATATAATCCCAGGTGTAATGTAATGGTTTGTCCTGACCAGTGACTTGTGCTTGGTTTTGCATACTTCCACTAAAGCAAGTAGTTTGCAGACAACACCTGACTGTTCATTAATAGAATAAAGCTGTCACACGGCCAGACCGTCTAGGATAACCCTCAACAAAAGAGCTCTCCCCAAAATAAGGAGGGAAGAAAAACACACATCATTTTTCTCTTTTCTGTCCTGAACCAGCATGTTTGCAATTATGGCAGTTTAAGATGTTTTCAGTTGCAAATAAAGAATATCGGACTAAAATTAGCTGAAATAACAGGGGGCTATTCACTTCACACGGTGAGAAGCCTGGTCACTTGGTCATTCAGGGTGGGTGAGTGGCTCATTGGGGCGGTCAGTCACCCAAGCTCTTTCCATTTGTTTTGCTCTGCTATCCTCAAGATCTCCAAGAGCATCCATCTCATGTGTTAGTCATTTGCACAATGGCAGGAAAAAGGCTGAAAACTACTGCCGCAAGAAGTAACAGGAAGAAGCTAGAAACATGCCAGATACACAGGTGGCGGCTAGTGGTGGAGCTGGGAGTTGAACCCAGACAGCCTAGCTCAGAATTCATGCCTGTCTTAGTCTGCCAGGCCTGTCATAGCAGAACTTAAACAGCAGACATGTTATTTCCTACAGTCCTGGAGGCTGTGAAGGCCAAGTTCAAGGCACCAGCAGATGCTGTGTCTGTTGAGGGCCCTCTTCCGGGTTCACAGGCACTGTCTCCTTACTGTGTCCTCAGATGGTGGAGGAGGTGAGGGGGCACTAGCCTCTTTCTCTTGTTATAAGGACACTAAACCTATCCACAGCTCCAGGCATCCTATTCTTACACAACAGCTTCCCGAGCAGGAGGGAAGAGGAAGGAGCAACACAAATGACCTTCGCCTCACTTGCCTCTCTCTAGACAGAGAGGAAATCTCTTTCCCAGTGGCTCTCAGTAGACTTCCTTTTATTTCTCAGTGGTCCAAATTGGGCTACATGGCTACCTCTAAACCAATCACAGGCAAAGAGGAACAGGATTGCCATCACTGGCTTAGACCAGACGTGCCTCTGCTGGGCACATTGTCCTGAAACAAAACCGGGGCTCTGTTAGGAGGGAGAATGGGAACGCTTTGGGAAGGCAGCGCCTGGCATGGCGAATGAAGCAGTCTCCCTGTCAGGAAGAGATGGCGTGTCCCCATTCACCAGCAGTAATGAGTCTCAGGGTCTGCCCCTATCTGCCAGCCATCCCTCTGCGCGTCATACACAGATCTACACTTGGTCTGTAAATCCCCAGGACTCTGTCGGACCAGGTGACTCCCTTGGCCTGATCGTTTGTTGAAGGAGGTGGCAAAGTGAAGACAAAGGCCTTCCTCCTGGACACATGCCAGGTGCAGTGACGATCTGGCTGAAAGATGCCCCGTTCATCTGCCAGTCACAGAGATGGCAGCTCTCTGAGGACAGGCTCGCTTCTGCCATGCTCACTGGGGTAGCCTTAGTATCTAGCTCTGTGTGTGGCACAGAGTAGTTGCTCAGTCATAATGGAGTGAGTGAGTGAGTGAGCAGACTGATGACTGAAGAAGATACTGTCTCCATTGAGCAATGCTTCTGGAAACAGAATGGTCCGGGGCTCTGTGAGTCATCTGGAGAAACAGAAGCTTGCTCTCCATCTCCAGGGGGTTAAGAATCTAATGGTAGGGTGATGGTCAGAGTACTGCGGTACAGCCAGGGAAGGAGGCTGCCCTCTCTTGTCTTCTGGAATCAACAACCAGCATTCACTTGCGCAAGGATACTGTACCTTGAGATAACTGCTTATAGTATTGTGACTGCAAGAATGTTTTATCTACCAAAATGGACTTGGATTTGTGGAAGAAAGAGGATTCCTCCTTTGCGCATCTTTCTGTAGCTTTTAAAGATTTATGAATATAGCTGTTGAAGGGGGAAAGAAGAATCACGTTCCTCTTTCCTCCATAATAGCTTGTCAGACAGAGGAGGAGGTGATTTCTTTCATTCAGTTTGAATCACGTTGATGGGATAACCAAAGGATGTAAACAGCCTTCATAAATGATGAAGCGTAGTCCAGACCTAAAGGATGATTATTAAGGAAAAGAGGTGCTTATGGCATAAGAACCCTCCCTTACTCCTGTTGATGCTCTTTAAAAAAATCTGTTTTACTTTTGTTTTAGACCTAGAAGGGTTTGATTCCGTGGTGTCATCTACTGAGAAACTCAGTCACCCAACCACAAGCAGACCGAAAGCCACGGGGAGGAGGCCTCCGTCCCAGTCCCTGACGTCCGTAAGTGCCTCCTCGCTTGCCGACAGCTGGAAGGCAGGAGAGATCAGGGACTCTAGCTACGGACTGTTCTGCAAGCAGCTGATTCGAGGACACGCTGGGAGAGGGCGGTCATGAGATACGCTGCTGACCAGAAGTGATTTGAGAGTCTTCTGGAATCAAGCAGTGTTTCTTTCTTTTTGTTCTCTGTGTATCTGCCAGCGAGGTGGGGAACCCCTAGTCCCACTTTCCTTCTCTCTCCTTCCAGACGGATTCTAGTTTAAACCCGAAATGAAATTGGTAAGAACAAAATGGCATGTTTTCTGCTGGGAAAGGAGAGCAAGGCTGGTTTGGTCTGTGAACAAAAGAGAGCTTTACTTAAAAAAAAAAAAAAAAAAAAAAAAAAAAAAAAAAAAAAAAAAA